GAATGTTTAGAACTTAATTAGGCTATAATCATGTGTTGAGACCTATCATGCAAGTTTTATGGTATTATTTTTTAGTGTGGGAAGTCTAACAATGACCTCTGTAACATTTATCCTGTATCAACTTTGTTAATTTGTTATACTGAAATGCTACAAACTGTAGTAAAGTCCCCCAAATTCTGAATTTCATAGCATGTTAAAACCGAATGAATAAAAGAAATTTTAGCAACCTTGTCATATCTTGGTAAATGTTTAATATCGTTACTGTATAGGATTAATGTTGTTGTTACATTATAAAACACTGAGATATTAATTATAATTTCAAAATAGTATAAAGATAAAGCAGGAAAATGGTAAGGTATTCAGGAGCACTTTGTATTTATATTTATGAGTAGGTAAAAATCCATTCCTTCTCTTTCTAATTTGAAGCTAAATAAAGAGTATTGAGTATGTTATATTAAAACAAATTTGAATATAAAAATCAGCAAGTCACGTGACAATGACAGTCATTATAAAGTTGCACTAGAATGACATAACTCAGAACTAAAGTTTGACATATAAGTAGTGTGATAGTATGATGCTACCAAAATTTGTTTACTTACCTTCACTTACATAATAGCTTTTATTGTTCAGTGCTGTCCTCTATATGCAAAAGTTTTTTGCATGCTACTAGTCTTGAAACTCCCATCTACCCCACAATCAATGTGGTTCACTGTGTTTTTACATGCAAATTATGTGACAACCCTTCACCAATAGGGATGCAATACACCCTGCTGATGTACATTACTCCCTCTATTTGATTCCACCTGACCATCACTTCTCATTAAGCAGTTGTCACATTCAGACATTCTACGTCTTTATACAAAGTTTTATGATACTTTCTTTTCCAAACTAGTGCTTTCAAGTTCCTACAATTCTTTGTTAACTGTAGTTTATTACCAAGTTAAATTATCTTCATTGGTTTTACATTTTGTTAACCTTTTTCTTGGATTTTCAACTTGTTTATAGTCAAATATGACTTCCAATTTTCGTGTTGAGACTTCAGCTACTGTAACTACTATTTTGAATGTTGTGACACAGGCTTCAGGTATGAGGGACCTAAACTGAGGAGGTCTCAGCTTTCATTCATCAGAAGATTGGACTTTACATGGTTTATCCCTCTTCTCCTGACCTTTCATGATGATGGAAATTTTGACAGCCTGTTTCCTCAACCATCTGCTGTGCAAGACCGTACCTCTCATGAGGAATCAGCCAGGTCACCCTCAGTCTTCTTGGATTTGATTTCTCTGGTATGTTACCTTTTCTTTGTATCCCCATTTTCATGTCCTACCTTTTCCCTGTTTCTCGCTGCCACATCATCCAAGTACCTAGTGTTTCCTTCCTCTCCAGATTCTTGATCTATGTTGATAATTTTTTTTGGTCACATATGTTCTTATTTATCCGGATCAATCATACCTGCCTGAATCTTTGGTAGCTTGTGAGGGGAGTTCTTCATTTCTGCTGATTTCCCACCTCTATTCCCAATAGGATCTGCATAGACTTCTGTATCCTGTTCATGATCTTCATTGTTATATTGCCTACACGGTTTCCATCTGTGGTCTCCCATTCTGCCTCTTTGTTCACTGAACCATTTCCTCACAGCGTGGCTTTTCCCTTTTATTCCCTGATGGGCTGGATTCATTAGCTTATCAGTATGGTGTGTTCCTCCATGTCTCCTTTTTTCAAAAGTATTTTTCCAGTTCATCCTTTGGAAGAGAATCATCAATTGAGCATGTAGACTACTCTTCACATATTCATCTTCCACTTTCTTCACTGAGTGGCTATTTCTTCCTAGTCTGGGTACTGTCTTTCACCTGTTGTCATACTTCACTCTTCAGTTAGACTGTAACTTGGTACATTTGCATTTCCTTTTTTCTTACATAGACATGTTCTTATCAGGTCACAGAATCAGTTCAATGGCAAGTGTTGCCTGTCCAGGTATACCTATCCATACATCATAAAATTCCACACTGTACAGTTTACCATACATCATTGAGGGGTATATTATCAGCTGCTTAGTGACTTAGTTGCTCCACCTCTGTGCAGTGGGTCCCAGAGGTTGATGTGTGGTCCTGGCTCTATTTGTTCTGTGGACTGTGGTTGCTTGGGACATCAGGTGGTGATCTATGTGCTCCAGCTTCTGTGTATCCCTATCCGGGAGATGTTGTTTTTGTCACACCCTGCTATTCCAGGTGCATCACCTGGTTGGGATTGAGCCTGTGAGAATGATGTTGCATGGGGTGGTGTGGCAAGGGTTGTATGGGATGTCACATTGAAGTTGGTTTTGAGTGTAGGCTGATCACACCAGTCTTAATGTATACCTATGGTCAATAACGCACACTGTTGAGATGGGGTGTTTTACTAGACTGCTAGTAGATTTTCCTCATACTATTTTGCTTCAATACAATGTCTGTTCCAGACCGTACTAACTCACGGACTTTCATGGTTAAAGCAGAAAGGGATTGCTGCTCAACCCTACCTACCCATTTATTGAATATATCAAGGGTGGCCTACTTTTCAAAATAGTATTTTGCTGGTCACTCAATGCACTGTCTCTGGTGTTAGTATTCTTCCATAATCCCCCTTTCATCTAGTGGAGTATGGGAGTCCTAGCCGCTGAGGCGGTGGACCATGGAGGCAATCTCCTGAATGTGCTCAATTCTATTCAATACAGAGTAGGACAGTGATGTTCTGCTGGTATAGATGGCATAGATCCTCCACATGAATCACAGCTATATAATACAGGTGTTAGAGTAGATCTGCCACTTTTCAGTTCACCCCTCTAGTTGGGATCCCTTGCCCTACTATTGATTGGATGTCAGTTCCCAGTGATTAATTTTGGATCTTAGCAGAACCAACCAACATAAATCCTCACACATGTGGAATTGTGGTTCTTCATTCTGCCATGGTCATGAGGTTTTGCCTCATGTACACCTCCTCCATGTGGTTAGTCCCAGAGGTTGAGGTTGTGCAGAACCTGCTTGATTCGCCCCTTGACTTTGGTTGCTTGATGAGTCGGCCAGTCATCTATGCACTCCAGCTACTGTGTGATCCTATCTGAAGGATATTGTTGCGCAGGGCACATATAGTCCCTCCTGGCACTCCATCTCCATGAGGTTCACACCCAGAGGCAGATGAAGCATAGAGTGGATCCAGTTTGATTGGATTTGAAGTGAACTGCCTCACTGGCAAATCCCTTCCTACTGTTGTTCAGATGTTGGGTTCCCAGATGGCTAGTGTAGGTTTTGGATTTGCACACGTGCTCTGTTTAGTTGAATGGTATGGAAGTTCCTCCTCCTGTTCTACCCAACTTGAGGTGAAGACGGTGTGGACCCTCCTCCTACCATGGTTCGGAAGTTGTATGTCTGACACCACCTGGTTTTGGACCTATTGCACCATAGTCATTCTGTGCCAAGAGACACATCCATTTTTCTTTCATTTATTGGTTGTGCTTCTCACAATTCCCGCCCATTTATGCAACACTTACTACCACACTGGGCAAAGAGTATACCTAGTACAGAAGTGTTGCAGTCTCCCATGTGTGTTCTTCAGATACTTTGAAGGATGCTTATCTATATCCCTCACACCAGTCCCTCCACTTTTTCAATGTGGAATTCTAGTTAGTATGTGAATGGAGGTAAGATAGCATATCAGAAGTTATTAGTTTCCTACACTGAAAATATATTTCCAATAAGCACTTACTTCTGCTCACACTTCCTCCCCACTACTGGTGCTTAATTTTTCCTTAATCTCAAGGTGAATGGTTAAGTGGAATTGAATAGAGTGAGTAACATGCATCAGGAGGGTCTGTTGCACTTCTGTTGGTGGAGGGTTGTTGCATGATAATTTACTTGTGAAGATGCAGTGAACCATGTTGATCGTGGGATAAGTGGGAGTTTCATGGCTAGTGGCATGCCAAAACATTTATGCATATAGAGGGAAGCACTGAACAAGAAAATCTATTATGTGAGTGGAAATATGTTTTCAGTGTAGGAAAATAATAACTTTTATAAAGAATATGTAATAGTCTTTTCTGACACAAAACATTTATATGCTTGGATAATAAAGAGATTTTCAGATTAGAAATGTAGAATTTCCAAGATGGGATATTCCTTATATTTAATTGCATTGGAAAACAAAGGAATATGGATAAATTTGAGACACTAGGAACACCCAAAAAGACCTGCAATGAGTCATAACCCAGCCTTGGTAAGCAAAGTATGGCATCTTGTGACAGATGAGAATTTTTGAACACTCATCATTGGCAAAAGCTGTTCCAGGTAACAAAACACAACATAAACAAGGAGAATTGCCAACTGAAAAGTGCCATAAATCACATGTACACATGTTTCTTGCACAAGATATCCATTTATCTTGCTGCATACTTCAAGCCTTTGGAGAACAAAATGGGTCTTTTTGTTCAATTTTTGAAATGAATTTGTTCCATTGTTCTCACATACTAGATAGATTATGGAAGTAAGGAGGGAGAAGTGGTGTGCCTTAGACATTACAGCCTTATGACAGAGTCATTTGCATTGGAGGGCTATAATGAAGGTACACATTTGTCAATTAAGCATAAATGTTTATGGCTCCAAAATTGTTTTAGTATAATGTACTCAACTTCTGTATAACACAAACATATATTTGTGTTATGCAAAAGTTGAGTACATATAGCACATATCTACCTGTAATGCCCTCATCCCTTTGTACTCCAAATTTTTAAACTTTGGAAGACCTTGCACTTAGTCTTCTGAATTCTTTTTTTTCAGATTGTTCTTAGTCTTTACTTTTAAGTTAACCATTTGTCTATACATTGTGTTATTTTAGATAATGCTTAAATCACAAATCAGTAATTATTTGTCACTTATGACCCTGAAAAATACTTTCAATAGCCTGTAAGTTCTTTGAAATCAATTGTTGCCTATAAGCCAACTCAAAGTTTTTAAATCTGTTTTCCATCTTAGACTAAATGATGATGATGAATGTTCAAAGACTTAAAGCAATTAATCTCCAAGAAACTGCTGCCTCCAGTGCAGGGATCTCAAAAGTCCAGAACAAAGGGATGTCAGTGCAGTACATCAAGGAACATGTGAGAAAATTAGTAATTAAGGTAAAATTCTCAACTGAATCTCTTAAAGTACTGATTACTCGTATGATTTAATATTCAACAACAGTTTCATGTCTGCACAAATAACTACCAAAGTTCTTTTGTAAAAATTAAATCTTTTTGCAGTAGGATAGGAAAATTAAAGATAGTATGAAATATCTTTGGTGAAAATATAATTCATGAATAATAATGTATTGCCATTTTGATTTCTTTTACTATAAAATTATCTTACTTTTCAAAGGAAATATGTGATGAACAACAGTTGACATATAATGAAAAACTACCAAATACATGTAGCTAGTATCCCCTAATTATTTTATCTCATGGCTAGATTTTTTAAGAAACCCATTTCTGTTGTTATTTAATGATATGTTTGTTGTACTTGTATTGAAATGTTAATTTCCTTTGTATGTTAAAAAAATTAAACAATGGCACTAAGGTGCTAGAGATATCTGTCAAAACATTAATTAAAGAACAGTAAATTACCTCTAGGCATCAAGGTAATCCATCAAACAATCATTGACCAGATTTTCTTCATCTTTCTTCTTAAACCATCTTATGCCAGCACTTGTGCACGAGTTAACTTATGATTAATAAAATAATCTCTCCACCTTTTCTTGATTCCCATCAGTACTTAAGTATGTGCTTGGGTTTTTTCTCCCATGTGTATAGATCTAGAGATCACACTTTTTATCAGTTACTGGCTTTTAGAAGAGAATTTAGACTTTTGCTTTTTGCTCAAAAGCAAGTGTCCACCATCATAAATCAAGCTATTAATGATTCAATCATTGTATTTCATCCTCCTTCATTTTGGGATGTTCAAGCTGTGGTTGAACTTACTCTAAGGTCCTGCTGCTTATTGTTTCATCCCATGCCTAGTGTGATATCCAGAGAAGTTGATTTATTACAAACATTCTTAGTAAAATTCTCTAACAACTTTTTCTGTTTTAATTTGAGGGTGCTAAAACAAGTTGAACATCTGGCATATTTTTTCTTAAGAATGAAAATAGGGAAAACAAAAATCATTACTATATTAAGGGGAAAATGACTGAAGCCTCAAAGAGTTGTTGTATAAATGTTCAGCATAATATTTTAAAGACAATTCCAGGGTAGTGAATCCAAAAGGATATGTTGTTCATTTGTATGGTAAAAACTATAAAAACTAGATGACCACCAAAATTTACAATTTACTTATTATAATAAAATAACTGTGTGTATTGTATATATATATTTATATATATATATATATATATATATATATATAATATATATAGACACACACATATAGTTATAGTATAATATATATTTACTTAATAAA